GACTAAGGCTGACCCGCGGCCTTCCGGCCGCGGAATCTGCCCGCCATGGCGGGGACGTGGCAGTGGAGCGTCTCTGGGGTCTCGCGGATAAGGGGATGTTGGTGGGGACGGCGTGGATGGAGGAGGTGGCCGCTGGAGGTGGAGGTGGGCGAGGGATGCAGGCAAGCAGGCCTGAAGGCAGGAACGCGGTGATGGAGGCGTTGTCAGTTGAAGCACACCCATGTAGGCATGACATGGTGTAGACAGGCGGCGAGACGGCCCAAAAGGTCTCCAGAACGGGCCAAGAGGCTTCCCAGACGGCCCCAGAGGGCCCCACGAACTCCCTCAGACGGGCCCCAGTATGAGGACACGAATCAACCTGTCGAGCGCACCGCCCCAAGACGTTCCCAAATAGCGCAGAGATGGCTTCCAGAGGGTTCAAGAAGCCCCCAAGACGACGCTGGAAGTTCGACGCTCCCCAGAAGAGAAGCATCCAAGGCCTCTTGGGGGCCGTTTGGGGGCATATTTTCGTCCACCTGAGAGTCTCTCGGGGCCCTTTTGGGCAATATTGAATTCCTCTTGGCTCTTGGGCCGTCTTGGGGCCGGCTTGGGCGCTGGGGCCGTCTTAGGGCCATCTTGGGCCAATATTGGGCGCTCTTGGGGCTGTCTTTGGTGTTTCTGAGGCCGTCTCGGGCGCCTCTGGAGCCGTCCTGGACGGCCCAGAGACCGTCTTGGAGACTGTGCAGACGGAAAGGCTTGGAGACGGGGCGGTGGGGGCCTCCACAGCCGTCTTAGAGACGTGGCGGTGAGGCCGTCTTGGGCCATTATGAACTGCTTTTGGAGCTGTCTTGGGTGCGTCTTGGGACGTGTCGGGCGCCTCTGGAGCCGTCTGGGGGCCGTGTGGGGCCGTTTGGGGGGCCCTCCTGAGGGCCTTTGGGCGCGTCTTGGGGCGAGCTGGGGGGCCTGTATAGCCGTCTTCGGCGCAGCGAGGACGACAAAAACGGAACATAGTGAAAACGCGCGTTTCCCGTCAGGGATGGAACGATTCTGGCTCTCCTGGAGGCCCTCCTGGGCCGTCTTGGGAGACTCCTGGCCTGCCTTGGGGACCTCTGGGGCTGTCTTGGCGCTCCCAAAGGTGCTCCAAAGCCGTCTTGGCGCCCCCTGGAGCCTCTCGGAGCCGTCCCGTGGGCCATTGTTGGCTGATCTTGGGGCTGTCTTGGATGCGTCTTGGGCCTTCTCGGGCGCCTCTGGAGCCGTCCCGGCGCCGTATGGGGCTGCTCGGGGGCCCTCCTGGGGGCCTCTGGGCGCGTCTCGGGGCGAGCTGGGGGCCTATGGGGCCTGCATAGCAGTCTTGGACGCTGCGAAGGCGTAAGAACGGAACATACTTAACCTTAAACAACCGATAATAAACACCCTGGGAGAAAAAAGTTCGGCGGTTACGGTGCGGTAGTAAACGTATCCACCAGAGGCCAGCATAAAGATGTTAACAGAAGGGCCAAAGCCGAGGATATCTGGAGACATCCTTGGCTTTTTGTCCTGTCTGAAACATCCTCAACAATAGCTTGTCTTGCTTGAGACATCCTCGACAAATCTCTCGTTTCGCTTGAGACATCCTCGAAATATTTGTTTGCTTCGCTTGAGAATTGTTTTACTGTTCGTTTCGCTTGAAACGTCTTCACAGAACGTGTTTGTTTCGTTTGGACGGTCCTCGACGAGCGTGCTCGCCGAGGACCGTCCAAACGAAACCTATTAGATGTTATGTGTAAGCGCTTAACGGAAATTAAGATGTGCATCTGCTCGTGTAGGGTAGCTCATCTGCCTCGGGTTCCCAGGATAGTCAACCACCGCGATAAAAAAAAAAGTTCAAGGGGGCACGGAAAGAAGGAGAAAGTTTGAGAGAGAGAAAAAAAGAGAAAGGGAAAAAGAGAGACAGAGGACATATAGAGAAACAGAGAGAAAGAGAGAAAGAGGTTGAGAAATAAAGATATATATATATATGGGGAGAGAAAGAGAGAGCGAGAGAGAGAGAGAGAGAGACGGAGAGAGAGAGAGAGGAGAGAAAGATGAGAAGGAGGAAGAAAAAATCCAAAATTCAAAACTTATTAATTTTTAAATGTAAAGGCTTAAGGGGAATTAAGATTTTCATCTGCTCGTGTAGGGTGGCTCATTTGCCTCGTTTTCCCTATATAATCAACCACATCGATAAACACGTTCAGGGCGCCAGGGGGAGGAGGAGGAGGAGGAGGACGAGGAGGAGGAGGAGGAGGAGGAGGAGGAGGAGGAGGAGGAGGAGGAGGAGGAGGAGAGGAGGAGAGGAGAAGGAGACATCCTTAAGAAACGTATTGTTTCGCTCAAAGCGCCCGTCAGTGTATGCTTGTTTCGCTTGAGACATCCTCGAGTATATGCTTGTTCCGCTTGAGACATCCTCGACAAGTTTCTCGCTTCGCTTGAGACATCCTCGAAGAATTGCTGGTTCCGTTTGAAACATCCTTGAAACATTGATCGTTTCGTTTGAAACTGCCTCCCAAAATTGTTGGTTTCGCTTGAGACATTCTGAAAAAGCGCGTTCGTTTCGCTTCACGTTGCTATCTCAACACAAGAAGGAAATAACCTCGATGGCGAACTTTTCTGGTGATAATGAAGTTCGGCCTCCGCGCCCCCGCGCCCCCGACCAAACTCTCATTGGCCGTGGATAATCAACTCTTATGTGTATAGGGGGGGGGGGGGGGGTACATTATTATCGCGGGTATGCGGTTACGCTGCCGAGGAACCCCGCACACTTATGTTATGTCACGTGCGTTAACAAAACAAGTCACATCTCGCTTCGTCATCCTGACGAGAGACTGACCAGACCAGCCAGATCAGCCAGACCAGCCAGACTGACCAGACCAGCCAGATCATTCGTTCCAGCCATAACCAGCCAAATTAATCAGACCGGCCAGCCAGGCCAATCAAGCAGACCAGCCAGACCAACCATATTAGTCATGCCAACAACCGCAGCCAGAATCAGCCGGACTGCCCTTACGAGCCAACCAAGCCAACCAAGCACACCAACCAGACCAGACCAACAAGAACAGACCAACCAGACCGACGCAGGGTTCTGCAGGTACGCCACCAAGCACTGCCTCTTGCCGTCGTCGTTCATCTCCGAGTACCTCGCGTAGAGCGTATCGGGCCACCAATTCTGAAGTTGGCGGCGGTACGCATTGAATGCGGAAAGCACCACTCCGCTTGCGCATCGGCGCGAGCTCTCCACACTGGCCTCGCCGCCCGTCAGAACCATAGCGTGTTTCATCGCCAGACACGGAGGCGGCAGAGCGTCGATGGCAAGTTTAGGCGGCATGACTGCCGCGCGCAGGAAGGGCGGTGCTCTGAAGTAGGACTGCAGGAGCGCGCCTGGGTGAGAGCGCAGGCGCGCCGAGCCGGCTGGAGCCAAGGTGTTTACACTTATTGGCAAGATACGAGCTCCCACCCCTAGCGCATCCCCTCTGGTGTCGAGGAAGTGCCACGCCTGCCACGCTTTGCGAATCCGAAACGCATAGGGCCCCCACCCCCAGCGCACCCCCTCTGGTGTCGAGGAAGTGCCACGCCTGCCACGCTTTGCGAGCCCGAAACGCATAGGGCCCCCACCCGCAGCGCACCCCCTCTGGTGTCGAGGAAGTGCCACGCCTGCCACGCTTTGCGAGCCCGAAACGCATAGGGCCCCCACCCCCAGCGCACCCTCTCTGGTGTCGAGGAAGGAAGTGCCACGCCTGCCACGCTTTGCGAGCCCGAAACGCATAGGGCCCCCACCCCCAGCGCACCCCCTCTGGTGTCGAGGAAGTGCCACGCCTGCCACGCTTTGCGAGCCCGAAACGCATAGGGCCCCCACCCCCAGCGCACCCCCTCTGGTGTCGAGGAAATGCCACGCCTGCCACGCTTTGCGAGCCCGAAACGGATAGGGCCCCCACCCCCAACGCACCCCCTTCTGGTGTCGAGGAAGAGCCACGCCTGCCACGCATTGCAAGCCCGAAACGGATAGGGCCCCTTCCCCCAGCGCACCCCCTCTGGTGTCGAGGAAGTGCCACGCCTGCTATGCCTGGGCGACCGTCGTGCATAGCGGCCATTTCGGGACGTGTCTCATGCGGGTGCCCACTATGTGGCGCACACGTCGTGGATGTGTGATGCAGTGAACACGCCAGGCGCGCACTAGCGCTGTATGGTGTGCGTGTGTTGTGTGCGAATGTGTGCATGCGTGCGGCTGTATGTAGACGCGTGTGTCATGTACTTGCCGTGCATGTGTTCAGCGCGGGTGAGGAGAGGAAGAAGAGGGAGGAGGGGAGGTGAGGAGACGCGGGTGCGCCGCGGCAGGGAAGAAAACCAGAACCCAACGAAACATGTGGGGAATGAAAACGTGCGTTTCCCGTCGGGAATGGAAGGATTTTGGCCTATTAGGAACTCTCCTGGAAGCCCTCCTGGGCCGTCTTGGGGGCCTCCCGGCCTGCCTTGGGGACCTCTAGGGCTGTCTTGGGGTTCCCAATGGTGCTCTGAGGCCGTCTTGGCGCCCCCTGGAGTCTCTCGAAGCCGTCCAAAGGCTGTTTTTGGAGCATCTGCGCCCCGGAGGGCGCCCTAGAGGGCGCGGGGAGTGGGACCTTCTCGCACGCGCGGATCCCTGCATTGTAGAAGAGATGACGTTGGGCTCCAGCTTCGCCTTCCACATCTCACTGAGCACTGACAGCGCGTGCTGCCATTGTCCGCCTTCCCTGCATGCGCTGGCAGTCGCAATGTAATGGCTTGGGACGAGTTGCACACCTAATCGAAGTCCTTCGTGGAGCAGCCGCAGTGCTGCGCTCCATTGTTTTGTCCCACCGCAATTCTTGATCGACACTTCGATGGAAATAGCGCCTTCTCGAGACCCTCGGCCGAGGCCCAGCATCCGTGAGGACAAGGAACCGCGGCTTGAGCCATACTGGGGAAACTTCCGGGGGCGTTCAAGAGGGGAGGTCGCAAATCATGGCCCCAGGCATGTGCGCGGAAGGGGGGACCAAGGGATGCATTAAAAGTGGGGGGCCATGAATTCCAGGGAGATGCTCTGCCCCCAGCTATGAATTTCCACCCTTACGGGAATCATCACCCCCCGGCATCTCGGCCGCCCCAAAACGGACACTGATGCAGGGGTCTGGGTCCGATTGAGGGCCAAATTTCGGCGGACTTGGGCCGGGAGGCGGAGCGATGGGAAAGGCCCTGCTGAGGAGGCACGCGAGCTTTTCCGAGCGGGGCCCTGCAGGCGTCTCCACAAGGCTTCTTGGGCCTCCCCACGAGGCTTCCTCACAAGGCTTTTCCACGGGGCTTCCCCACTGGGAGCCTCCTGGCCTGCCTTGGGGGCCTCTGGGGCTGCCTTGGGGCTCCCAAGGGTGCTCCGAGGCCGTCTTGGCGGCCCCTGGAGCCTCTCGAAGCCGTCCCGTTGGCCACTATTAGCTGCTATTGGGTCTGTCTTGGGTGCGTCCTGGGCCGTCTCGGGCGCCTCTGGAGCCATCCCGGGGCCGTGTGGGGCCCTTTGGCGGCCTCTGGGCGCGTCTTGGGGCGAGGTGGAGGGTTTGTATAGCCGTTTGGGGGCCCTCCTGGGGTGCTCTGGGGGCGTCTTGGGGCGATCGGGAAGGCCTGTATAGCCGTCTTGGACGCGGTGAAGACGAAAAGAGCGAGCATATCAAAACACGCACGTTTTCCGAAGCGAATGGGGCAATTTTTGTCTCTTGGGTTCCTCCTGGGGGTCCTGGCTTGGGGTCTTCTGGGGCCGTCTTGGGCGCATCTTGGGCCACCTTGGGGCTCCATGGGCCGTCTGGGGACGCGCTTGGAGGCCTGTTGGGCCGTCCCAGGGCGGTCTTGTGGGTCTCTTCGGCCGTCTTGGAGCGTCGGCTAGCCGAGAAGGCGAGCAGGGAAAACCATGGACAAATTTATGAATTTGGCCTCTGGGGGCATGCTTCGGAGGACTGTTGGAGGCTCTGGGAGGCCTCTAGAGCCTCGGTGGGGTCCTCTAGCCTCTTGGCCCTTGTTGGGGGCCTCTAGGGGGCCTCTTGGACGCTCCTTGGAGCCTCTGATGGCCATTTCGGCAATTCTTGGGGCGGCGGGCTCGATGTGTGACGCTTGGGGGCCAGGATCTGCGTGAGGGGTGTCGAAAAATGGCCCTCGAGGGAGCGGAAAATGCACGACCTTCTCGCACGCGCTTCCGTCTGCCATAGAAAAGAGACTAGGGCTGACCCGTGGACTCCGTCCACGACATCTTTCTGGAATGGTTCTCGGAGGAACGGCGCAGATTGTACCGAAAATCTACAAACACGGCGGCGGCTCGGGCGGCGGCAGCGAGACCGCGCCTTCGTGTCCGAGCTCTTGCAGCGCTCCAGCAGCTTGGCCCAGCGCACTGCTCGTTCACCCCCCTCCTATTGAGGACAGTTTCGAAGTCTCTCGGGGATGTGCGTCGAAGTCGAAGCCCATCTGAGGCGTCTCAGGAGCGCTCGGGGAAGGGCTCGGGAGGCCATCGGGGGAAGCCACCGACAGCGCCGGGGAGGCTCGCAAGGATCTACAGGGAGGGCCAAAGAGAGCTTCAAGAAAATTTGAAATTCTGTAAAATCTCTAGAGAAACCGCTGTTGGGTCGGCCATCACCTCCGGGCGCGCCTTGATGGTGCGATCCAGTCGCATCACCGCCAACGGGAAGGTTTGTTCGCCATGTCCCATTCTGGTTGCCCAGAGTGTCTGTGGAGGCCTTCGGGCGAACAGAACGGGACAGGACAAGGAATGGGGAAGACTTGTCCGAATCTCCTGGGCCCCCCAGGTGCTCGTCCGAAGAGTGCGGAGAGGTCCCAGGGTCATATCAATTGGCTGCTGTCCCAGGGGTCCGTCCTGCTTGGCCCGAAGAGTTTGCCAAGGCCCCTGGGGGAACATAATGGCACAGCATATCGGGCAAAGGGGGGCGGTAGCTGGCCTGTCAGACCCGGCGTTCGTCTTCTGCCCAAGCGGCGCGGGGCCCACGGGCCCCAGGGTTGGCGTCCCGCTGGGTTTCCTCTTGTTCGCCCACAGGGTTGGAGGAGGCCTCCAGGCGAACAGAAGGGGCTCTCGTGGGCCGCCTTGGGGCCCTCTGGGGCCGTCTTGGGGCACTCGTCGCTGGGCCGTATTGCGGCGATCTCGGAGGATCCATAGGGCTGTCTGTTGCCGTTCTTGGCCCGACATGGCGAGTACTTGAACATCCTGCAGGAAAACTAGAAAAATAAAATCTATGATGCTGGATGGCTCGGGACGTCATCGGGCTCCGCCTGGGCCGTCTTCTTGGGAGCCTCCCGGCTTGTGAGCTGGCCGTCCCGAAGCACTTCTTCTGAGCGTCCTAAGGCCGTCGTGGGAAAGTCTCGGGCCGCCTGGGGGCCGCCTCTGGGCCTCCTCGAGGGAGGTCTGAAGGCGCTTCAGGGGCGCGGCGAGGCCGCCCGACCGAGGCGCGCCGGGGGGGCCTGTCACAGAGCTCGCCGGAGGGCTCTCGGGGTGCCCGCCCGATAATTACTCGAGTCCGCGAGGTTTCTGGCACGCGCTTCGCCCGGCCATGTGCACATGCTGCCTTCCGTCGGCCAAAACAAACAGAATATCCAAGGTAACACTCCCCAGGATGCACAAGAACATGCAACAAACACGAAGAACACGAGGGTACCCTCCCCGAACCGACCTCGACCTCATACCTCGGTCCGACTGTGGGAGAGAGAGAGAGAGAGAGAGAGAGACCCGAAAATTCGAAAGCGCCCAACTCCTTCAAAGCCATACAAAAAACAAAAACATGGGTTGTGGCATCTCGGGGCTCTCTCTGGGTCCACCTCGGGGCGTCAGGTGCGCTTCTTGGCCCGTCTTGAGGCGATCTTCGGCAATCTGCTGCGACATCGGAGCCGCTCCAGGGCTCCGAGGGCCCGCCTGGAGGGGCCCGGGGCGCCCAGCTCCGCCGCCTCCGGGGCTCTTTGGGGGACACCCTGGGCCGAGAAGTGTGGTCGCAGCGATAGCCCCAGACGTCGGGCGTCTCGAACAAATCGAGACGGAAATGTGCTTCGATGAAAAGCCGATCCCCGGGGAAGTGGTCGGGAGGTCAGGAGCCTGCGTCTCGAAAAAACGGAGACGTCGGATGTTTGGGATCGAGATTACGTTGGGCTCCCCCAGCTTCGCCTCCCACATGTAATTGAGCACTGACAGCGCGCGTTGCCATTGCCCGACTTTCCTGCATGCACTGACAATCGTAATGTAGTGACCTGGAAAGACTTGCACGCCTAATCGAATTTCTTCGCGAAGCAACCGCAGTGCTGTGCTCCATTCTTTTGTCCGACAGCAATTCTTGATCGACGCTTCGAGGGGAATAGCTTCTTCTCGAAACCCTCGACAGGGTTTCCAGCATCCAGAAAGATGCATCCCGAAAGACACAGCACGACGGCTACTTGAGCCAAACTGGCGACGGACACGGCACCGCGGCTCCTCCTCCTCCTCCTCCGCCTCCTCCTCTTCCTCCTTCTCATCCTTCTCGTCCTCCCTCATCGTCATCCCCCTCTTCGTCCTCCTCGTCATCCTTATCTGTATTGCCGCCCCCCTCCTTCTTCATGCGATGCCGCGGCGAGGTGACCGCGGGCACTGGCCGGCAGGTTGGCCATGCGCGAACAGGACAACCAATGCGTGTATCAACGCTTCCCTGACTCTGCTGGCTTGTTCTGCGGGGCCCAACGGTCCGCAACCTCGCGGAATCGGCTGCATTTGTTGTGTTGCCCTTCGCCGCCCAGCCGCCCACCGCGACCGCCCGCCAGAGGGAATGGAGGAGGAGGAAGAGGAGAGGAAGGAGGAGGAGGAGGAGGAGGAGGAGGAGGAGGAGGAGGAAGAGGAAACTGACGGAAGGAGAAGGGCAGCACTAAACTCGGCGAATGTTTCTGATCATGTCCTGTCGGAGGTGTGCATCGCAGCCCCGTAGCTCGCCTACAGCCCCAGTGAAGTAGAGAAAACCAAGATTGTCTTTCAAACACTTTAAGAGTGCAAATAGTTTTTCAGTCACAGCTCTGGTAGCAGACCGAACGCAAACGTTTCAATATTGTAGGCAAATGCTTCTGAACATTTCTTGTTAGATGGTGTGCTTCCCCGCTCCGTAGCTCGTCTACAGCTCGATCAAGTGGAGAAAGCAAACTTTAGCTTTCAACATTTACAGAGTGATGATACAATGTTCAATCGCAGTTCTCGTAGCAGACCGATCTCAGGCGTCTCGATATTGTAGGTGAATGTTGCTGTCGTTGCCTGTTAGACGGTGTGCTTGCGAGCTCCGTAGCTAGCCTACAGCTCGAATTGAGTAGAGAAAGCCAGCACCGCCTCTAAAAAGTACATCATGCAAATGGTTTTTTTCCGGTTCAGCTCTGGTAGCAGACCGATCTCAGGCGTCTAGGTGCTTTAGACTAGCGCTCCTGAACATTTCCGGTCGGATGGTGTGCCGAACGTCTCTGTAGCTCATCTACAGCTCGAGTTGAATTCAGATTTCCGTCAGCACCTGCCAAGACGACACTCAACACCCGATCCCGCCTGAGTGCTTTTTGATAATAATATCCACCCGATCGACCTGAGATCAAGATCCAAGCTGCTCAGCCGCCGCCCCTGTTCCGCGTCACAATCATCGTCATCATCCTCATCCGTATCAGCATCATCCTCGTCATCGTCGTCGTCATTATCATCAGCATCATCAGCATCACCACCATTATCGTTATCATCATCAGTATCAACATCGTCATCAGCGTCATCATCACAATTATCATCATCGCCATCATCATGATAATCATCAACGTCATCACCACCGACACCATCACCAACGTCATCATCATTATCTTCGGCATCATCATCAACATCATCATCAACGTCATCCTCATCATCATTATCATTCGCGTCCTCAACCGCATCCTCAGCCTCATCATCATCGTCAGTATCAGCATTATCATCATTACGATGTTATGTTCATAACCCTCCGCATCATCATCATCATCATCATAACCACCC